TATCAACATTACAAAAGAATCCTATAAAATGGTAATAAAGAAACATTTGTAAATAAATAAAATAAGAAAAAAATCATCTACCAAACATTCAGTATTTTCTCTAACAATTAACATATCTACTGATTTTTGCTGATCATTATCATTGATTGATTTAACTGATACAACAGGCCTAACATTTGCATAAAGATCCAATTTTTTTCTTAATGCAACAATTGGTGATGAATAACCTGCGACTTTATGCGACGGAGAACTAATAATAACAAATTTTTTTTTAAAAAAAAAATTATATTTGGAATATAAAGATGATAATTTATACCTGACAGAACCAAAAAGTGCACCATCGCATTCATTCTTTAATATTTCCAGAGTTATTTCAGGGAGTGCTACCCCGTTTTTTTGAAAATATTCAAATCCAGCATCTAAATCTATAAATTTAAATTTTGGACTACCATTATCAATTGTAGAAATTGCCTCCAAAACTTTTCTTGCGGCCTGTTATTATTTCATTATTATTTCATTGATTAGTTTATTGAAAAAAATAATCAATTTAATAATAATAAATATTTTTTGCGTACAGGAATAACTTCTTTACCAATACCATCGGCTGGTATCAATCCAATGGTCAAATTTTTTTTTGCATTCGTTGTTGTTAACGAACGTTTAATGATATTTTTCAATAACATATTAATATCATCACATCAATTCAAAAAATTTGAATGAAGAATTTTGTCGATCATCGCTTAGAATATTAAATAGATTATCAAAATTTTCCAATAGTAAAATGAAATAAATAAATTAATTCATCATATAGAATTAATTAATTCATCATTGTCGCGTTTTTCTGTTATATAATTATTAATTAATGTATGTACTTTAGACCTTCCAAATCAAGTTAGCATGCGGGAAAAATAATTATAAAATTTTTTTTTTTTTTCACTTTCTCTTTGTAACTTTAATAACTTTAAATAATAATTCTATATAACGATTATATTTTTCCACTTTCCTTTTCCTTTTCCTTATCCTTCTCCTTCCTTCGTAACTCAACCTTTATATCATCATCATAATCATCATATTTACATGTCCCCTTTACATATGTGTATATATATATACATATTACATATTTTAAAGGGTATTTTGTTTTTTCCTTATCTAAATTCCAAGGAAAAAGAAAAGGAGAAATAACAACAACAATAACAGCAACATACAATCCTTTAATTTAAATCCCTTGCTTTATTGTTATATTCAAAGTAGAGATTTTTATAAAAGCAATAATTCTATAAGATTTGTATCACCATGAATAATACTAATTCAAT